TAGAACCAGATAAGGTTCTGGTAACTCATCTATTAAAGACTGGAAATCATGTTTTCCCAGGCGGTGTTGCGGCGGTATGTATAGACAGCAGATGACTACATGCTACTCCTCGATTAACAATAATGGCTACAACACCAGATGACGCCACAGCATCATCTCTGTCCTTTCGGAAGATAACATATTGATGCAAAAAATCTGTATTCTTGGATTTTAGATGTGTTTCCTGTACACACAGCACTTTTGGAGAATGTTTGTGTAGAAGTTCTTGGACATCGTCGAGGTTTCGAAGTAGTCCTCTGACGTTCCATTGTATAATTTGTGTCTCCATTATGGGAGTAAAGAAGTGCTGTGTGTACTAAATGAGTGTGGTTGGTGTCTAAAAAGAAAAGTGACTTATCTTACAGAACCTTTAGGAGGCCCTGTAATTACCGTTTTGTCTTTTTTAGAGCGGTCGAGGGAACCCCGCCGCTCCTTTGGCGCAGTCTGCGCCGGTGCAGTTGATGTGTCCATCGCCTCAGGAGAGACGACAGACAATGTTTTCGTTGTAGGCTTCGTCGTGACAGACGGAGCCTTCGGCCCCACTGGGCTCGAGGTCGAGGGGACCTCTTTAGTTTGTGTGGTGCCCTAGCTGCTGCCAGGGTTCACAGGGGCCTTCCGTGGGGCTGTATTCAAGGAGGGTGGGGCAGCCGAGGCTGCTCCCCCGTGGGGGCTTGTGGCGTTTGCCTCGGCAGGCTGGGCGTGGTCTAAGGCATTGTCGAAAACTGAAGTGGTGGTGACCCCCCTCGCACCACTTCGGCATACGATGTTTTCCAGCAGAATGCGGGGAAACGCGCTGCCGCGTTTCACGGAAGCTTATGTTCAACTTAAACTTTTTAATTATAATTTCTTTTTCCCTTTTCCAGGCCACGCACGACCTGGAATATGCAGTATGGTCACCCTCACAGTTTGTGCAGTGGACTTGTAGCTGACAGTTATCGTCAGCGGTATGACCTTTGGTGCCGCATTTCGCGCAGGTAAGCTGTCCTCGGCAGCTCTGGGAGTCGTGCCCGAACCTCTGACACTTAAAGCGGCGCCGCGGGTTGGGTATATACGGTCTGACTGGCAGTTTAAGATATCCTGTTGCTATTTCAGTGGGGAGAGTGCTAGATGCGAAAGTGAGTATGATGTGTTTCGTTGGGGTTTCTTCATTTTCTCTTCTTATTTTGATACGCTGCACCTGAATGACATTTTCTTCTTTCCAGCCTGTTAGAAGTTCATCATCAGAGAGGTCCATCAGGTCTCCATCTGACACAACACCCTTCACAGTGTTCATGGTTCGATGCAATGTGATTGTGATAGGCTGATCCCCAAATGATGTAAGTTTATGCAGTCTCGGGTACTGTGTGTGGTCTTTTATTTCGAGTAGCAGGTCACCACTGGCGGTCTTTGTGGCTTTGTAGCCTGCGCCTAGCGTTTCTATAAGGCATCTGGACACAAGGAAAGGTGAAATGCTTCTAGCTTTCTTTTCTGTATTTTCACAGTAGATGATGTGGTATTTCGGGTAGTTATCTTTCTTGTTTGGAAGAAATTCGAAAATTGCGTCGGTGCGCCACCTCTTGGAGGGGCAATTAGTTGTGAGAGACCAAGGAGTTCCCATGAATTTGGTAGCTGATTCGGCGGCCATGCCAGCCACCCACCATCGAGCCCAACAACGGAACGCTGCAAGACGCGAAGGAGATGCAAGCGCCAGCCATACATGGCCGCTATGAAAACAACATTTAAAATCAACCTGCAGAAGCATACCTTTATTTGTTGAAGTATTTTGTAATTGTCGTCTGCGTTTTCGCGCAGATTCCGGCTGACGTCACAATTTTTCTCAACTGTTCCAAATGGCTAACAGCACGCAAGCTGTCGGGAGTGTTCAGGCAAGCGTCCTCTAATATTAACAGTGCCTTTGAGACTTCCCGTGAGGTGTGATGAGGTCGCGGCTGTATCTCCTCGCATGATTCTTCGCCGGAATCGTGGTCTTCATGGGCGCCCGTGACATCATTAATAATCTCTTGATCGGTCAGAAGACCACTCGTGGCGACACCATGATCAATCGCGATGTAGTCCTGAAAGGTCACATCTGTGGGAAGGACAGCATCGAAAGTCGGGCAGTCATCGTCGGTGGACTCGGTCGGTGGACTCTGCCGCTTTTTCGGCGTTGCCATCACTGTAGCGCACGATGGTGGTGGCATGCAAATACGGTCACAATGGAAGAAAAAGATAACTCCGCAAGAAGAGATGGTTCCAACACGACAACACAAGGAAAAATGGCGTCGGAGGCGCTGAGTGGAGAAGAAAGAAGACGCCGACGTTCAATGACACTGCGATCGCCCCCACTAGTTGATGATGATGGCGATGCCACTCAGGTTTCGGTTTCACTCCAGTGGTGCCAGCACTGCTTTATCACACTTTTGTGTAGCAGCAGCCGTCAGTATTTGTCCGAATTAGGCGGTGCGGAGCCGAATTCCGACGAAATAACGAAGGTTTGGTCCCACAGATTAACATGCACTTTGGCCGGGACCAATAGAGCCGTCCGAATTATCCGAATTTCCGAATTAACGGGTGTCGAATTAACGAGCTTTTACTGTATATCTACCCAAAGTTGGATATCTACACCAGGTTAACCCTTGCCGCCGAGAATTGTGGAAGTAAAAAGAAGTGAGGAGAGGACAGAAAAGATCAAAAGTAGTAGAAAAGACGAAGATGAAGAGAGAGAAGGAGACAGGAAGAGGCGACTGCCGATTTCCCCTGGGTGGGTCAGCCCAGGGGTGTCGTCTACATGAAGCCGGCGCCAAAGGGGTGTGTTGCCTCTGCCGGGGGGCCTTAAAGGTCCAATCACCCAGCGTCAGCTCAACCCCCAGGATCTCCTTTTCCCCGGACACGGCAAAGCCACGCACGCCTAGGCGTGGGAGGGAGTCGAAACTCCCCCATTAGCTCGGGTCCGTGGTGTCGCTACACACCAAACGCCTACTTGCGCAGGCGCCCCTGCGGGGGATTGGTAAATGTAGCAGGCACGCTAACTTCAGGTCTCTTACAGTTGCAGCTGCTGCTGTGCGAGGCTCTACTTGTCATTTTGCAAGAGAACACTTGTAACAGCAATCCACAACATTTCCAATAGATTGCCGGCCAAAAATATCAGTTTCGGAGTTCAGAATTTTGTTCACTAAGGATCGCCGTTCCTCGTGACATGTCGTCCGTCAAGATGAAGCCTTTGTCATCCCAAAATAGCACTGCCATAATCATCTCTGCTTGAAGGCTGGGTTTGTGAATGTCTTTGGTTTAACAGTAAGGAATGTCGCCACTTGTACAATTTCGTCGTTTATAATCGATGGTAGCAAAGCCAGGTTATGACATGGCAATGGTCCTAGCTTGAAAAGCATCTGCACCAACAAGGCTCAAAGAACACAAAGCGGACGTTGCTAAAGCCACCCATGCTATGCGTTCAAAGACAGAGGTAATTGAACACTGCTGGACAACAGGGCATATCTGACTTCAACAACGCGACAACACTGGCTCAGGAAAAAAGGTGGAGAAAAAGAGAAGTCCTGAAATTGTGGTTCATCCACCTTGACAAAACAGCTTGCAACAATTTACAGGGACATATGTGACTAGCAGAGGACTGGGTGACCTCTGCTCATATAGTGTAAGCGTATACTGAGGATGGCAAACACATAGGTGGCAATGCATCTATGTAATTTTTGTTAATATTTTTGTCAAGTCAGAGAATAAATTTTTTTAAATGCCCAAGTCTCATCTGCGGCAAGAACGATAGTTATACAGTCAAGCCTGCATACAACAGCCGCACTTGAACTTTCAATTAAAATGAAGCATACCAGTGTGACCATGAAAATATACATTATTTCAATGGCTGAAAATCACACTTAAAGGGACCAACAACTGTTTTTTTCGACCCAGTTTCTTCCAGCACGACCAAAGCTTACCCTTTGCAGTGTTCCCAGCTGCATTATTTACTCCCAAAAGCCCGTCTGCTTATTTTTCAATTTGAAGGGCTCTGAACACCAATGTGTCTTTTTGTCTAGAATGCTGAGAATTGATAGTGATGCCGGTAGCCCTTCTAGCGACTTGTGCATGCCGTCATTGTTCTGCTTTCGCAAGAGTTCCTGTAACTATGCCTAAACACGTTTATTCCGAGATTTACAACAATTTTGAAAAGCTTTTTTTTAAATTAACAACCCAATACAATTAAACTATGTGGCTTCACACATCTTCCGCATACTTGTACCACGTTGCATGTGCCTGTGCTCAAGGTTGATGTGCCTGCACCGTAGATTGCTTGTCCCGTCATCGTTACTCTCTCGACACACGAGCCAAACCAAGTCACCCAAAATGTCACTGCGTGTCATTTCTGAGACAAAGTGTAGGCAAAATACCACATCACTTCAAGATCTTAGCAGCCTTGAAACTGCATGAATGGTTTCATGAGCATGCAGAAAAGTTGCTCAAGATGCAGCATTACATCATGTGAAGGCAGCACCACTTTATTGTGCACTACTAATGCAGGCCTATAAGTACATTTTTATGCAGTAATATCTTTTACTATAAAGAAGCAAACAATATTTCAATACTAACAAGAAAATTGCTGACCGCGTTCACTAAATTACGGTCACTGGACAGGGCACGTCGGATAATTGAAGTTTCTACCACCCAGGTGACGCGACAGGCTATTAGCGCAACAATGCTAGCCAATGATACTTTCTATCTAGAAAGAATTCTGCTCATTTAGCTCCAAGCAAAATTGGAGGAGCTCATTAGCTGGGAGCCGATTCAAAAAAAAAAAAAAAAAAGAGAGGAAGAGATACAGAAAACAAAAACTGTCAGGCATTTTAACAATCCATCTGGTTGACAACTACAAGCAAAGGAGCAGTGAGGGCTCATGTGTGTCTTCTCCGCTCTCTCTCTCTCCCCCCCTACCCACTCACAAAGTCAAATGTGTCCATGCAGGCTTTACTTACGTATTGTATTTCCATACGAAGTGATCAAACAGATCCGACAGCTGTGGGATTAGCCGCAGCGATGCCAGCGCCCTCTGCACCTGTTTATCCAGTGAACAAAAATTGTACCAAATCATCATGATAAATCATTACTTTTGTTGTTGGTGTACTGGCAGCTTTTACACTCGGAACTAAGCATTCATTCATATAAAGTTATCTTGGAGAAAAAAAAGGCAATGTGGAAAGGAATTTCAAACTTTGCCAGATTGGTTATGGATAAAGACAAAAAAAAAAGTATGTACCATGCACTCAATTAACAAGCATTATAAACGCTTTAGAACCGTAGTTTGAAATTCTAGTTATCTTGTCATGTCTTCTTCCCCATAGCAACCCTATTGTGCATCCTATGCTACTTGTTTACAGTAGAATGTCGATGATACAATCACAAATTTCACAAATTTTTCTGTTGTATGTCACAATGCCCACAAGCATACAGTGTGCTGGAGTATAGTTGTTGCAAAATGATTTTTACCTTGCAACATTTTATGGAAATGTCAGCTTCCCTGCAGATATGTACATATGCTACTCACGCAGATGCAGCGATCATAGCAATCACGCACTAACGATAATCATGCATAGGCACAAGAGCTTTAGCATGGCATCCACACCATGCTGCCAGTTTGGCTAGTTGTCAGCGCTGCCTATCTGCAAGTTGTAACTACTTACTGTAACCATAGTAAGTATTTCGAAATTCAAACAGTAAGTCAGGTTGACCTCCTACGGCATACCTTGCTATGGTAATGTGCAATCGCAACAAGCTAAGTAATGAAAATGTGCAAGTATAGCCAGAGAAGAGGCTAAAGGCCTATGTACCTTTTCAACAAGGGTTTTTTGGGCGGCCCTGTAACACCCCTGCGCTGTAGCAAATTTGTGCAGGAGGCCACATCGCTCAGATCCGACACTAAAGAAATTCTAGGTCACGGGGCGGGCGGAAGCAGCCACCAAGGAGCAAGAGCTCTTGGCCAACTAACCGTCGTGACACCTCTCGCAATTGAGAAAACCATTTTCTTTGGTTTTTAAAAAAAGTTATGTCTTCCTCCTCTTCTACAAAATGCACGACCAAGGCATTTTGGAGGAAGCCTCTGTACATAACATAGCCCTTACTTTTCATGACTGCACGCATCGTTGCGGTTATGCAAAATACAAGAACAGAACTTATAGCCATTTATTAGTCAGAGTTTCTCGATGCACAATGATAGAATCGCTGCCATCATGGTATGAAAAAGCTGTCCAGATCACAAGCATACTAAAGCAAGCAAGCCATACAAAATACGAGCTTGCCTACTAACTGAAACTGAAGCTAGCCCAAGGATCCTTATTTGTCACAAAATTTCCTGCACGGTGCAGTGAGGCACAAAGCTTTACATTTGGCACAAATGGTGGGCGATTGAGCAGGATAGCTCAGAAGAACTCAAATGGAGCAAGAATTCTACACCTGCCATACACCATGAGGTACAGAGTCTGGAATATGTATCCTACAATTGCAGTTTGGTAATGTGCATGGCCAATACACTATGATTTTTGAGAATAGATGTGCTGGTAAAAAATACAACTATATAAGGCCACATTTTCTATTTTCAATGTCGAACAATGGTAGCAGGAAATGGCACAAAATGAGAACATATGGACGAGAGTTTATCGTATCCCCCCTTTCCCATCACTTCATTACTTTTGGATTAAGATCAATAAACCAATGTAAAATGCTAAAATAAGAAGCGCTCTCACAAAACTTGTTTAATATCACCAAACTAGCATGAATTGTTTCGACTTGTATATTGCTTTGAAGTACACGCATAGTTAGAAATTGTTACCATACCTCCTTTCTGCGTTTTCCAACAAGTAGTAAGCCTAGTATGTAGACAGCCTCTGCACGGAATGTCATTTCTGCTGAGATCTTTAGGGCTGCTTCATGTTGGAAACGGCCGCTTTCTCTATTCCACTGAGAGATCCCTGCAAGAAAAAAACATAAGCAAATGATTAGAAAATATCATGTTCAAAACTACTTGATGTAAAACCAGAACACAACAGATACTACGTTAAACTCCGTATTCAGAAACACTGCTCAGCGCGTTCGCAATGCGTCTGTGTGTTTGTGCTGCCAGACAGAGCGTCCGAAACGAGTTTGTGCTGCATTGAAGTCGGTAACAAATCAAGATCAAGTCAAGCAGCGTTTCTGAATATGGGGGTTATTGTTCCTGATAACGACAGCATAAAAAATTGCTTCCATAAGTAAAAGCTGACTCTCCTTTGGTATCACAGAAGTGGGACTTCAAGTATGCTTTTAAGAGAGGACACAGGTCTTTGAGATGAAAAAAAATTAGTTTTTTGAACGTGGCATTTTCATAAAATACAAACACAGCTACATGTTCTGACAAAGTTTCTCGCGTCATGGATGAATATTTAGGCCACAATACCAATTTAAGCACCGTGAGCTATATTTTGAGTGAAAGAAGCACAAAAATGGGGCTTTTTTCAAGCCGGGTTGCCGCTGAACCACATATCGCAGCCATATCAGTCACGTTGAAAAGAACTTTTTTTCCCTTGAAGTTCTTGCCCAAATTCATTCGTACACCTGTTTTCTGTGTAGTAATACCGCGTCGAACAGCACCCCAGTGCCTGACTCCATTGACTCATTCTGTGCACGTGACTAAATAGAGCCCTGCGATTGATGTAGCCAGTTAAAGATGTCTGCTGCGGTGTGCTCGACAAGCAGAGCGCGACACCATGCATTTTCGAAATTGCTTGCGTGCAACGATCCCCAAATATCATTAAGTTTGCCCAGCGAGATAAGTTTGGCAAGAAAAGAAAGTGAGTGCGTTACAACTTCAAAAAGTGCCCCGATTCTGCTGAAGAATCTAGTGACGAGTACTAGCCGGTAGCCTCAGGCGAAGGCCACGGCGGCTTTGAGGTGGAGAGCAGGGAGCCAAGCCTAATGGCATCGCCTGCCAATGGTGATCGGAGAAGCACTGTTCGTCACAAGACAAGGATGGTTCCGCAAGCAGAATCGCTTCAACGGCAAAAACAAGCAGATGATAAACTCTAACTGCTTGCACAAAGATTGGCTACGAAGACGACGTCATGCTTCTTTACTGTCAGTAAAGAAGCGATGAGCGCTCTTTTCTCGCGCATAACATGCCCTCTGTGGGGCGACTCCACGACTTTCGCGAGAATTACGGCGATGTTTTTTGCAAGTAGTGCTCCCTGCACGCAAAAGATGGCACAATGGTGAGTTCCTTCACTGTGAACCTTCTGTGCATTCGTGCAATGGTGAGCACTGGGAATATGCAGATGGCAATGAATGATATTTTCACCGCAATGAATATATTGCACCAGGGCCTTCACAGTAAAACATGGCAGAATTATCTGAAGCAAAAGCTGGTGCCGGTGGCTTCAACAGTGGTCCAAAAACTTTTGGACGAGTGCACAGCATCTGTGAAATCACTACACAGCAACCTGAATATCGCGAACTCCGGCAATATAGCAATATCCTACGATGACACGTGGATGACACTCAACCATTCGTTGCACGTAGTAGTCAGCACAGTCATCTAACTGTTTTCAGAATTTGTGCTCGACTATGTTGTGTTGAGCAATTTCTGTGCAGGTTGCGTGCGTGGCCCGAAGCCTGGCGACCCGGATTATAAAAATTGAAAGGCCAACCATCTGTGCCATAAAAATACAGACAAAAAAAAGCCAGACAGATTGAAGTTGAAGCAGTGCTAATACTTTTTCAGAGGTTACTTCAGGTGCACCACAATCCTGTCGAACGGTGATGATTGATCATTTCTGGCACTCCAGCAGGCACAAGTGTATGGCTTTTGTGCCGATTGAAAAAGGCGATTGCATTCATCATGTGCAAAAAAAAATCCTGTGTACACTGACTGCAAAACACAAGGTCTCGGCTTCAGAAGCTTTAGAAGGAAAAGGCAAATTGACCAGTAAGTTGACTACCAAACTTAGTGCGTACTACCGATGGGCACTGAAGTCAAACAATTGGAATGTCAAGGACATGCAGAAAGCTGTCATGGCAACATATTGTCACATAACGCCCAATGACAAGGTTTCTGACCACAGTCTTTGCCCTTCAGGTCCCAGCTCTTGGTGAAGTCAGAATGCTGCTCAGGCAAAAAAATGAGCCCATTTCAAAGCACCAATATAATTTGCCTTCGCATATTTGCGAAGCCCTTCGACCAGTGCATGAGCGCCTTTCAGAAGAAAGACTGCTTGAAAGGTGCCAGCGCAGCAAGACCAAGAACAATAATGAATGCTTGCATTCAACGATTTGGGCATTGGCTCCGAAGAAAAAGCATGTCTTGCTTTTTGCTGACCTTGCTGCTGTGGCTGAGGCAGTGATCAAATTTAATTCAGAGAACGAGAGAATTTCATCTGTCATATTACAAGAGCTTCATTTAAGTTCGGGGCTACCAAACAGCCAGAGAATGGCTGAGAAAAACAGTCGGCGTGCAGCAGCATCAGCACACAAGCATGCATCTGCAGAAAATATGCAACGAACTTTCAAAAAGTGCCACTCTGATAGCTCTCTGCAGAGAGATTATATCCCTGGTGGCTGCTGATCACTTAGCTAGATGAATATGCCGATATTTATTCTTACGTCTGAATATTTCTTGTTACATCTGAATACATACCTACCAAGTTCAAGGATTCTGAATCCAGGAGATTTCCACAAGGAAAGGTGGGGAATGTGTTCTCGAACAGCCCTGAAGGCGTGAACATTGATGTTGCAGTCTTACAACAGCTGATAAACAGCGTAGGTGGGGTGTCCCTCTCGGGGATAACTACGTATTTCAAGCAAGATGGAAAATATTCTTATTGCTCAATACATGGTAAAAACAAAAAATAAAAACTAGCCAGATATGTTTCCAAATCACAATATATACATAAAACATTTCTTTCCATCAAAGGAATTCGCGTTTATTCCTTTGGGGCACTTGTGAACGGACCAATAAGGTAAGGTGCAGCTGGCTGCCACGGAAGTGCGCGTCAAAGCTGCGCTTGAGGTCGACTAAAACTAATAGCTAAAGTCCCCCCCCCCCATAGTCATAAGTGAAGAGTGACATGAACATTGAAACGCCTCACGCCTCTCTCTTTGTCTTTGTCGTCTTCAATCTACCGCAGCGTTAGCCGCATACCTTCGGAGCTCATAGTCAGTAACAATGATCGCGCTACAGTGACTACTGTTTCGTTCATAGCGGTTGCGGAAAACAGTAGTTCTGGTAGTTCCGCACGCATGCGCTGTCCACACACATGCCTTAAAAACTAAGCCGCTTATTGCTATCTGTTATTATAGCATCTGTTGCAGTTTTGTCCGCAGTGTTTGCGGAAAGAAGCGCCGCTCTGATTGCACGAGCGTTGGAGGTGCATGCCCTCTTGGAAATCAGTCAGTTGTGTAGTCGTCGTACATGATTATGTTTAGAGCAACCGCAATTTTGTTGGCCACGCGCATCCTTTTAAAGCTTCCAATCAAAGTATCACCCGACACAACATGCCAAAGTGTTCAGAACATCAGAATTTTGGCCCATTGGACACAATAAAATTTGGCTGGGGAATTTCTCAAAGTCATATACCGGAGATTCTCCTGTAGGTTTGAATCAACTCCTCTTAATTCATTCTAATTAAAATGCCATAATTAGATAGTTTTGCAAAAAACCTGGATCGAATTGGGTCAGATTTTTAGCAATGCAGCCAGATTACACACAGAAATTTAGATTTATGAAAGGTGGTTCGCTAGAAAACCTTCCAAAAATCAAAACTTCTGTGCGTAATCTGGCCGCATTGACGAAAATCTGACCTAATCCGATCCAGGTTTTTACATACAAGCATAAGAAATGGTCGTCATCCAGGAGACTTGGCAGGTAACCACCTTCCAGAAATCGATATTTCTGTGCATAATCTAGCCACATTGCCGAAAATCTGACCTAATCTGATCCAGGTTTTTATGTACAAGCGTAAGAAACGGCTGTCATCCAGGAGACTTGGCAGGTATGTGAATAAATATGAGCCTTGTTTTTTGTGAATTTTCTCAAATCCTAATTCTTGACACTTTGCAAACATTCAGAGAGATTTCTCAGTAACCAGAACACCTAGAATTCTCATTCATGTTGTAGTGCAGAGCCACATGAATGGCTTCCAGAAGGGTAGAAGCACATTTTTGCATTTCTGCATCAGTGTTTTTATTGTTTATTTATTTAAATAATTAATTAGCAAAATTTTGAGCAGGAAGATTTTATGAACTGTATAATTGCTAATAGTAGTCATATCAAAAAAGTATTTCTACACTTGTGAAGCTTAAGCTTCCAGGTATCCATTCAGCAGTGTGTCTAAACCAAAATATTGATGAGTAGTTTTTTATTCATTGTTCCTGAAAACTATGTTAATTATTAAATTAACAGTGCAACTACTTGATATGTTTAAAAACTAAGTGGATATTTGGAATTGGCAAGAAAAACTGAACAAGACTGTGCAATCTCATTAAATTTGGTAAAGGAAATCGCAAGATACAAAAAAAGACCCACTTCCCCCCTTGCAGCACCAAGTAAGATGTGCCCCTGGCTAACCCCTTTGTTTTCTTTGCTTATCTCTCTTTTTCAGTGAAACAAGAGTACAAAATTTGACTAGCAGTAGCTATAAAGCCAGATAAACTGTCACGAATGCATGAACGAATGTCACGAATGCATGAACGAATGCATATAAAAAGAAATGAAAGAAGTGTTAACTACTAGCTACTGGCATTAACAGAAAAATGTGAAACAATTTAAAAACGCAGACACTGTAGACACAGTACACTAATCACACTCATGTCGCCGACTAAACTTTCGGACGTAGCGGGGATAGAAAAATAGCCCGAAAAATCGAATAGTCCACAAAATGCTGTAAAGACATAAAAATAAATTTTATTTGCTTTTAGAGCAGCCTAAAAAAACCATAATAAT